AAAAGGTTTGGCTCTTTGCTCATGGTTTGAGCCCTTTATCAATTTGGCATTCAAATCTGACAACATTAGTTTTGGTCAAAATTCATGTGAAAATGGTACTCTCAGATATCCGACATATACATATGTCCTATATGGAGATATAGGTCAAAATTTCCAACTCCCATAACTCGGTCAAAAATCAACAGATTTTCAAAAGGTTTGGCTCTTTGCTCATGGTTTGAGCCCTTTATCAATTTGGCATTCAAATTTGACAACATTAGTTTTGGTCAACATTCATGTGAAAATGGTACCCTCAGATATCCGGCATATACATATGTCCTATATGGAGATATAGGTCAACATTTCCAACTCCCATAACTCGGTCAAAAATCAACAGATTTTCAAAAGGTTTGGCTCCCTGCTTATGGTTTGACCTCTTAATCAATTTGGCATTCAAATCTGACAACATTAGTTTTGGTCAAAATTCATGTGAAAATGGTACTCTCAGATATCCGACATATACATATGTCCTATATGGAGATATAGGTCAAAATTTCCCAACTCCCATAACTCGGTCAAAAATCAACAGATTTTCAAAAGGTTTGGCTCTTTGCTCATGGTTTGAGCCCTTAATCAATTTGGCATTCAAATCTGACAACATTAGTTTTGGACAAAATTCATGTGAAAATGGTACCCTCAAATATCCGACATATACATGTATCCTATATGGAGATATAGCTCAAAATTTCCAACTCCCATAACTCGGTCAAAAATCAACCGATTTTCAAAAGGTTTGGCTCTTTGCTCATGGTTTGAGCCCTTTATCAATTTGGCATTCAAATTTGACAACATTAGTTTTGGTCAACATTCATGTGAAAATGGTACCCTCAGATATCCGGCATATACATATGTCCTATATGGAGATATAGGTCAACATTTCCAACTCCCATAACTCGGTCAAAAATCAACAGATTTTCAAAAGGTTTGGCTCTTTGCTCATGGTTTGAGCCCTTAATCAATTTGGCATTCAAATCTGACAACATTAGTTTTGGTCAAAATTCATGTGAAAATGGTACTCTCAGATATCCGACATATACATATGTCCTATACGGAGATATAGGTCAAAATTTCCCAACTCCCATAGCTCGGTCAAAAATCAACAGATTTTCAAAAGGTTTGGCTCTTTGCTCATGGTTTGAGCCCTTAATCAATTTGGCATTCAAATCTGACAACATTAGTTTTGGTCAAAATTCATGTGAAAATGGTACTCTCACATATCCGACATATACATATGTCCTATATGGAGATATAGGTCAAAATTTCCAACTCCCATAACTCGGTGATAAATCAACCGATTTTCAATGGGTTTGGCTCCTTGCTCATGGTTTGAGCCCTTAATCAATTTGGCATTCAAGTCTGACAACATTAGTTTTGGTCAAAATTCATGTGAAAATGGTGCTCTCAGATATCCGACATATACATATGTCCTATATGGAGATATAGGTCAAAATTTCCAACTCCCATAACTCGGTCAAAAATCAACCGATTTTCAATGGGTTTGGCTCCTTGCTCATGGTTTGAGCCCTTAATCAATTTGGCATTCAAATCTGACAATATTAGTTTTGGTCAAAATTCATGTGAAAATGGTACCCTCAGATATCCGACACATACATATGTTCTATTTGGAGATACAGGTCAAAATTTCCAACTCCCATAACTCGGTAAAAAATCAACCGCTTTTCAAAAGGGTTGCCTCCTTGCTCATCGTTCGACCTCTTAATCAATTTGGCATTCAAATCTGACAACATTAGTTTTGGTCAAATGAAATGACTCAGTTAAACGTCGAACTAACAAGTGACAGGTCGCTGGCTCGAATTCAGCAGAATTTTTGGTCTTTTCCATTTATTTATTAATTTTACTACTATTCACAAACAAAAACATGAATAATTTAAAAAATGAAAACAAAACCAAAAATAAAGTATACGAACATGTTTTCGTATATGTGTGAAGTTAGCACGAATTGCAAAAACATTGTCGGAACTAACATATATTTTCCTTATTATTTTTTTTTTAATTTTATATATTTTCAGCGTACAATTCTCGATTCAATTGAGGTTTATAATCATTTTTTAAATTATTTGGAACAGCTCTTTTGAGCTAAGATAAAATTAGTTATGCTATATGGAAAAGTGTATGCAACCAAATTATAGGTTGGCTATACTTAATTATTATTAGCCATATTAAGTGGGTAACTAACCTATGTTTAGCCATGGATAGTTATGCCACATGTTAAATAAAATAACTAGAATCAGTCCAGACGTATTGCCCGATTTGCATGTTCGGAATTTAGCGACAATTTCCTGCACACATATTTAACTAGAATTTAATGAGCTACTAACTGTTTTCGGCATATATAACATTCACTTTTTTTTTTTTTTTGTTCGTGAAAGTCACGCAAATTCCGGAGCAACAATTGGGCTGAGGCACGCCAAGTTTTTCAGGCTGTTAACTAATTGAAAAGAAGAATGAGTGCTGTTTGAAAATGTACTCTATTTGGAGATACCCTGTACAGTCGAACTCTGTTCCTAACAAGAATCACAAAGTCTCACACAGCCCGCATGCTTCTCCCTTGTTATTCCTTACAATATATAGGGAATACTTTTTTGAATAACTTCGGCGCTTATAGTCCGATCGTTATGTAATTTTTAGCTCTTTAATAACTCATATAAATGTGTGTAAATGCCAAGGCCCACGAATTACCTTTATTAATACTTTGTTTTCTTATTCTTTAGCTTTAGGAGAACTCAGTGCATGCAAAGCGAGAACTCTTATAAGTTCGAGCTATGGTAAAACTACAACTGATCTTCAAGTTGATATTCAAAATGCGTTTAAAATGTGTGAACTTTCTGTAGATATACGGATAAATGTATATAAAAAAAAAAACAACATATAAAATCAAAATAAACTTGATTTGCGCAAGCAATAATTGGAACTACATTCCATTCTTTTGGGATAAGACATTTCTCTTTGCACTTGCAAGAACCGTAATATCCACTTAAGTCCATTCTGAATGGGTGTAGGGTACACGAAAATGATGCAATTATTCAATGGAAGGGTAACAACAGTCTTCTTATCCAGTCAGACTTATTAACCATGGCTTAAAAGAGCAAACAGCTGTTTTAACAAAGCCCAAGTTTGAGCGGGCGAGTTGGCAAACTGGCCACCAGACCTAGACCCAGACAGCCGGTTTTTCAGCACAGCAGCAATCTGGCTTGGTGCCTACTTAAGTGGCTTTCAAGAGCAGAGCAACGCAGTCTTGATGCTGCAACCGCCATGTGGACCAAGTGCAGTCGTTTGCTGTGCCTTTGCCTGTGCGTGGGCCAATGCCTGTCGGTCTTTGGCAATCCGGCGGAAACGAATGTGAGCAAGTTCCTGAGGCACCTGGACGTTATACCCGATCTTATAGATGTGGGACCCCAAGAGTTTCTCAATGTAAGATTAGTCCAAATTAAATGAACGCTCGCTAATCCCTAATCCACTTGTGACCAGGTCACCTACATGGGCAACATACGAGCCGATCGCGGAGTCGAGCTGCAGCCGCTGCAGGTGCGGGATGAGCCGACGGTCCAGTGGATCGCCGGCAAGGATGATTACTATACGCTGCTGATGACCGATCCGGATGTGCCAGAGAAAATGTATCCGCAGCTCAAGGAGTATCTGCACTGGCTGGTCGTCAATATACCCGGCGGTCAAATGTCGCTCGGCGATGTCCGTGTGGGTTATGTGGGCGCCACGCCCCCCAAAGGCAGTGGGCTACATCGCTATGTGTTTCTGCTCTACAAGCAGCCGGATTATCTAAAGTTCGACATCGAGCATGTGCCCAGGCACAGCGAGAGCAACCGCGTCAAATTCAGCACCCGCGCATTTGTGCTCAAGTATAATCTAGGCTTTCCCCTGGCTGGCAATTTCTTTACCAGCGAGTGGAGCAAAGAGGTGCCGAGCTTGCACAAGGCCTTGCAGACCAAGGGAGAGACTTTGTCGTTTTAGGTAATCAGCAATGCCCCAGCGCTTGGCCGGTTTTGTTGGATTGCCAAAGAAGCGCATAAATTAAGCAAAAGCTAAGCTGCGATATCAGCTTACTGTCAAATCGTACACTGTAAATAAATTGTCACAAACATATGGCCTGACACATCTATCGAAAACGAATTTTTCACTACGAATAATTAACTCAACTATGGCTGAGGCCGTCGAGTCCTTTGCCAAGCACAAAATTGTGCCCGACGTGGTGCAGGTGGCGCCCATGAAGCTGCTCAAGGTAGGCTAAAACAGTTCCTGGCCACAAAATTGAGTACCTGCTGCCTGCTCCCTTTAGGTGACCTATTCGGGCGGACTGGACGTAAACAACGGCAACGAACTGACCCCGACTCAGGTGAAGAGCGCCCCACAGCTAGAATGGTCCGCAGAACCGGATGCCCTCTATACGGTGCTGCTCACCGATCCGGATGCGCCCAGCCGCAAGGAGCCCAAGTTTCGTGAATGGCATCATTGGCTGGTCGTCAATGTGCCCGGCACTCAGATCGACAAAGGCGATGTGCTCAGCGCCTATGTGGGCTCCGGGCCGCCACAGGGCACCGGACTGCATCGCTATGTCTTTCTGATCTTCAAGCAGCCGCAGAAGCTGTCCTGCAATGAGCCGCGCATACCCAAGACGAGCGGCGACAAGCGCGGCAAATTTAACACCGTCAAATTTGCCAGCAAATACCAGCTGGGCAATCCCATTGCCGGCAATTTCTACCAGGCACAGTGGGACAATTATGTGCCCAAGTTGTACAAACAGCTGTCGGGCAAATGATATTATTTTATGCACTTCTGTTTTTTTTTTTACTTAATGAGCAAGTGCATACGTTAATAAGCATTACAAATTTGCGCGCATTCAAATGTGTGTCATTAAATATATTTCCCGGAACGTTCGGCCACAGCTAAAGCTGCCAGCGCCAGCGATTTATAAGCCCAGCTTCAAGTCAAACAAGTTTCAGTTGTTCGAAGAACGCGTCGACGAACAGGTCATAATTGAACTGGACTCTATATCAATACACGCCTACAAGGTGAAACGGGTATATTCGTGTTTTCCCACTGTTCGTCTGTCCGTGTGAATGCAATCTCTTGTCGCTATTCAAGCTAGAAACTTCAAATTTTGTTCGGTCATTGTGTACAAATTATGTGACCAATGTGACGCCCACTGACCAAATTGTGTGTACATATATTTTGTAGTCTTGGAGAGGATTACGTATGTCACTCAGCTCACTTGGAGCCAGAGTTTGTATCTACTACGAACTACAGCTGAACCGCTCCACAGATCGAATATGGCCTGCCTTGAGCAGTTATTGAACATTGCGCAGTCGGCTTTGGCAGACTGCAACATTCCCAGTTGTTAACTTTAACTTAATTAGTTTCGCTTTTTTTTATACGCCCCATTTTGGTTTAGCTAGAGAAATGTTGCGGCTTGCTGTGGCAATTGTCAGTATTCTGGCCGTGGAAAGCTCCACGGTGAACGATGCATTCAATTGGCACGAAGTGGTGCCGGATGTGATCCCGGGGCCACCGCCCGAATTGCTTAAGGTGCGCCAACAAAACCCAAAAAAGGGTGTAAAACTTAAACAAAGGCCTAAAACTTACCGTTTGCAGGTCAGCTACGATAATCGTCTGTCGGTTAAGGATGGGGACATTGTAACACCCACACAGGTTATGCATAAGCCCGTGGTGGAGTGGATGGCCGAGCCGGATACATACTACACGCTTATGATGGTCGATCCGGATGCGCCCAGCCGTAGTGAGCCCAGGCTGCGCGAATTCAAGCATTGGCTGGTGATCAATATACCCGGCAATGATGTGGCCAGGGGGGATGCGCTCGCCGATTATGTGGGCTCGGGTCCGCCCAAGGATACGGGACTGCATCGTTATGTATTTTTGGTCTTTAAGCAGCCGAAGAAGCTGCAAATCAGCGGAGCGCGCGTTAGCAACAAATCACGTCGCGGCCGGACCAAATTCCATGCCTACAAATTTGCGGAGCATCATCATCTGGGCGATCCCGTCGCTGGGACCTTCTATCAGGCGGAATACGACGACTATGTGCCCATTTTGCACAGTCAGCTGAAGAACTAGTGTGTAATGCCGTGACAGCAATGTTTGTTTAATATGAATTGGTTTTATTGTTTTATTATTATGAGTTTCTGTTGCCGTCTATTTGCCCGCCGCCGTGGCAAGTGGATTGCGCAGCACCAAAATAACAGAATCACCGCGCAGAAACATTTTTGATATGAAGCGATCTTTGTTAACGGGTTTCACCTTCTTTTTGCCCTTGCCGGTGCGCGGCAGCTCCGTCCACATCTCCTTCACATTCTCCAAAACCATGTTGCAATGGCGATCGAAGGCTTTGACGCGGCCGAGCAACTTTTTGTTGTTGCGGCAATTGATGAGTACCTGTGTGTTGTTTTTAACCGACTGTGTCAGCACCGACAGTGGTCCGGTGTTGAACTCCTCCTCCTCCTGGCGGGCCAGCTCCTCCGGCGTCAGTTCGGATTTCGGTTTAACGAGAGCCCTGCGAAAAATTTCAGTTCAAGTTTCGTTTGGCACATGAACAACGAGAACAACGGGACATGCCGGTCGCACATGTTGCCGCTGCTTTGCAGGCGCTTTGCGCAATGAAACTTACATGTTGGTGGGTTTATGGCAGCTTATTTGTTACAAATGTGAATCGTGTCTAAACAATTTATGCAGTAAATTAATATTATTGACCAAAACGTTTGCGCCTCGCGGCTTTTTTTCCGTGCTTAAAAAATGCTATATTAACTATCGATGGCCACTATCGATAAGCGCAAAAGTCTCACTGACGCGCATTTAAGCGTTGCCACCTGCAACAAAATGCTGCCATTCCGAATTCAGTTGTTCGATAAACATACGTTTAGAGGCGTTAAATCACTTGTTACAATAAACAAAGTCTACAGTAACCGCACTTACCAGTCTACAATGTGGACAAAACAAGTAATTCACTGCAGTGCTCAATTGTTTTCCCATGCGTGTTTTGGCATTTTAACGCTTATCACATACGGTCACACTGCACACACCATTTGTTATTGTCTGCTTAAATCGAGTTAAGCTTTCGGCGGATGGCATGGCAGAGGCAAGCGTCCCTAAGAAACCCAAGATGACCACAGATGAAGAGCCAGCCATCAACTGCGCCCACTGGGTGCAGCGCAAGAAACGTTACTGCAAAATGACACCGAACAAGGGCAGTTCATTTTGTGGAGCACACGAGCCGCCAACAGAGCCAAGCGCAGAGAACGCGGACACGGAGCGCATACCCTGCCCACTAGATCCCAAGCATACGGTCTTCAAACGCAAGCTGGCCAAACATTTAAGCATATGCAATGCCCGCGATCAAGTCAGCACCTTGCCCTATATACACAAAAATATCAATGCTGGCGAGGAACTGGAGCCCGGCAGGCAGCAGGAGCTGAGCGACTACGAGAAGCTAAAACTGCACGAGCTGGAGGATGCAGAGTTCTATGCGGTCATAGAGAAAGTACAGCAGCTCTACAAGACACACATAGTCGGCAGCATCGAGCAGCTGCAGCTGCAGCATGCAACGCTGGAGGAGCCGCTCAGCCACAGCGAGTTTGGCCCGGAGACGCGCAAGCACCTGGTGCAAACATCTGCTCTGCTGGGCATCCTGGAGCAGGAAAAGCAGCTGAGCGACAACACCAGCTATATTGAATTTGGAGCCGGCAAGGGCCAGCTGGCGTTCTATCTGGCCACGGCGCTCGACACGCAACAGTTGGCCAACTCGCAGCTGGTGCTAGTGGATCGGCTCTCGCTGCGCCACAAGAAGGACAACAAGCTGGCCAACAAGCAGCTGGTGCAGCGCATACGCGCCGATATTGCAGACCTCAAGCTGTCGCAGCTGCCGGAACTGCAGCGCACCCAGCGCAATGTGGCGCTATCGAAGCATCTGTGTGGCGCCGCAACGGATCTGACCCTGCGCTGCGTGCTGGGCGACCCAGCCTGCACCACTAACTACATATTGATTGCCCTGTGCTGCCATCATCGCTGCTCGTGGCGCTCCTACGTGGGCAAGCAGTGGCTGCAGGCGGCGGGCGTCACACCGCGCCAGTTTGTCATCATCACCAAGATGGTCAGCTGGGCCGTGTGTGGCAGCGGCATGAGTCGCGAGCGCCGCAAGGCCCTGGCGGAGGAGACGCGGACAGAACAGCCGCCACAGGAGCCCACGCAGAGATTGAGCCGGGAGCAGCGCGAACTGATTGGCTATCAGTGCAAGCGCATCCTGGACCACGGACGGCTGGAGCACCTGCGGGCGCATGGCTACCAAGCGTCGCTCAAGTTCTACGTGCCGCGCGATGTTACCTTGGAGAATGTGGTGCTCTTGGCCAAACGCGACAACATTAAGTGCAATAAAGCCTCATGATAATCGATTACTAGATTTGAAAAATCAACAAATCAAGAACTTGTTGCTTATTGAATTAAAGTGTTTTTATTATTATAAGAAGCAAGTGCTGAATTACTTAACCTAAAGCAGGCATGTATTAGGTAATTTACCTTTTAAATAAGGCTGTAAGAATGGCAAACTAATTTTTGTTTAATTTTTTTGCACAATGCCGGAAAAATACGAATCAGCTGTTTTTGCTTCCAATCAAACGGTCTTCCAGTGTATACACAAATATTGTTTTTTTTTTTTTCGTAACCAGGGCTGCACAACAGTGCGAACAGCTGTTGGTGAGTCAGTATTTGGAAAACAATTTCGCCTCGTTAATATTGAATTGCGCTAGAAAATAAATTTAAATCAATTTGTGCTGCGAAAATGGCTAACGAAATGGCGCACAAAATGAAGGCCATCAAATGCCCCACAGACGAACTATCGAAGACCAACAAGGCGATCGTTAATATCGCCGATTTCACCGAGGAAGTAAAGTCAGTTTCTGTTTCTGTTTCTGTTTTTGTTTGTTCAGTTTTGCTTTATTTCTGTGCGTGCAAAATGACGCCAGCTCAATGTATGTGGGCGTCTCCATTGGAGTGAGAGTAATTTATTTGTGTTTCGCTGATTCACTGACAGATATGTGGACATCTCGCCTGGACCTGGGCAACATTATATATTTGCGCTGGAGAAGATTGTCGATCTGCCACGTGGACATGTGGGCTTCTCGCTGGTGCACCGCAAATGGGCCTCGCTCTCCATTAACCAGGAGATCGATGTGCGTCCATATCGCTTCGATGCCAGCTCCGACATTGTTACGTCCGTTTCCTTTGAGACGGACTTTCTGCAAAAGAAGATCAACACCCAGGAGCCCTACGATTCGGATGAAATGGCCAAGGAGTTCATCATGAAGTTTGCGGGCATGGCCCTGACGGTAGGCCAGACACTGGTCTTTGAATTCAAGGACATGAAATTACTTGGTCTGGCTGTAAAGACGCTCGAAGCCGTCGATCCCAGAACTGTTGGTGACGGCAAGGAGCCAAAGACGCGCAATGTCCGCTTTGGTCGCGTCCTGGGCAACACTGTGGTGCAATTCGAGAAGGCCGAGAACTCTGTGCTGAATCTGACAGGCAGATCCAAGGGTAAAATTGTGCGACAGTCTATCATAAATCCGGACTGGGACTTTGGCAAAATGGGCATTGGCGGCCTGGACAATGAATTCAATGCCATCTTTAGGCGTGCCTTCGCCTCGCGCGTCTTTCCGCCAGAGCTGGTCGAGCAACTGGGCATCAAGCATGTGAAGGGCATATTACTCTACGGACCGCCTGGCACGGGCAAAACTCTGATGGCCCGACAGATTGGAACCATGCTGAATGCGCGTGAGCCCAAGATTGTGAACGGGCCGCAGATCCTAGACAAATATGTGGGCGAATCGGAGGCCAACATACGCCGCCTGTTCGCCGATGCCGAGGAGGAGGAGAAGCGTCTCGGGCCGAACAGCGGACTGCACATTGTCATCTTCGATGAGATCGACGCCATTTGCAAGGCGCGCGGCTCTGTGGCGGGCAACAGTGGCGTCCACGACACAGTGGTCAATCAGCTGCTGGCCAAGATTGATGGCGTGGAGCAGCTGAACAACATACTGGTCATTGGCATGACCAATCGCAGGGATATGATCGATGAGGCGCTGCTGCGACCCGGTCGTCTTGAGGTTCAAATGGAAATCAGTCTGCCCGATGAGAAGGGACGCGTTCAGATACTCGACATACATACGAAGCGTATGCGCGAATTCAATAAGATTGCCAGCGATGTGGATAATAAGGAGATTGCCGCATGCACCAAGAACTTCAGCGGTGCCGAGTTGGAGGGTCTGGTGCGTGCCGCCCAGTCCACGGCCATGAATCGTCTGATCAAGGCCGATGCCAAGGTTCATGTGGATCCCGAAGCCATGGAAAAGTTAAAGGTTACACGCTCCGACTTTATGCATGCCTTGGAAAATGATATAAAGCCCGCATTCGGTGCGGCACAGGAAATGATCGAGAATATGCTCGCGCGTGGCGTCATCCACTGGGGCCAGCCGGTGACCAGCGTGTTGGAGGATGGCATGCTCTATGTGCAGCAAGCGAAGGCCACGGAAAGCTCTGGTCTGGTCTCGGTGCTCATTGAGGGTGCGCCCAACTCGGGCAAATCGGCGCTGGCCGCCAATCTCGCCAAGATGAGCAACTTTCCCTTTGTCAAGGTGTGCTCGCCCGAGGATATGGTGGGCTTCACCGAGTCCGCCAAGTGCTTGCACATACGCAAGATATTCGATGATGCCTACCGCTCCACGCTCAGTTGTATTGTGGTGGACAATGTGGAGCGTCTGCTGGACTATGGACCCATTGGACCGCGCTACTCCAACCTGACGCTGCAGGCATTGCTCGTGCTGCTCAAGAAACAGCCACCGAAGGGCCGCAAGCTGCTCGTACTGTGCACCTCCAGCCGGCGTCAGGTGCTCGAGGAAATGGAAATGCTCTCAGCATTCACCTCCGTTCTGCATGTATCCAATCTCTCCAGTCCGGATCATGTGCTTACCGTGCTAGAGGACTCGGATCTGTTCAGCCCCGAAGAACTGCAAGTAATTGCTAGAAAAATAAGCGGCAAGCGCGTCTGGATTGGCATCAAGAAGCTGCTGGCATTGATTGACATGGTGCGGCAATCGGAGCCGGAATATCGGGTTATCAAGTTCCTTACCAAAATGGAGGAGGAGGGCGGCCTGGAGATGATGGCGAGACCGCAGTAGCTACCGCCCGTATTGGAACTGAAAATGTCCGTCGTGGA